AGAATGGTGTTATAATACACTCAGAGACCATACCAGCTCTTCAAATCTCTACTGAATAATACAATCAGAGGATGGTTTGGGCATCCACACCTTCTCTGGGCAGCCTGTTTCAGTGCCTCACCATAGTAAAGAATTTCCTCCTAACATGTAATTTAAATCTCCCCTCTTTTATTTTAAAGCCGTTACCCCTTGTCTGATCACTACACTCCCTGATAAGAGAGTCCCTTCCCATCTTTCCTGTAGGCCCCCTTTAAATATTGGAAGGCGCCTATAAGGTTTCCCCAGAGCTTTCTCTCCTGTAGGCTAAATCACCACAGCTGTAAGCTTTTTATAAATTTATAGGCATTAATTCATATGTACCTGCTCATGTCATTATTGCCATTATCAAGTATTGTGTGGTATTGCAGTTAGTATCCAAATTGTGCTAACCACATAGAAGAGAAAAATCTCCCAATGCAGATAGCTTAGATTTTGGTAACAGCAAGTGTCATGAGATGAGAATTACAGCGAAAGCTTCAACAGTGTTAGGATAGGAATATGAAGATTACAGAAAAATACTGGATTTTTTGGTACTCTATTACAAGGCTTACAGGCTTTTGCAATAAATTGTTGATGATGCCAGGGTTCACATGTAAGCACTGCTTATTTTTTTTGGCTCTTCTTCCAACCTAATTAGGAGAAGGACTCCACAAACAAGCTCAGCGCTATTTATTTGTTTATTAATAAAATATTTCCTTCTCTTATGCCTAGTTTTGTTTGCTCTGTGTGATCACGCTGTCAAGCACGCTCTGCAGAGAGAAGCTCAATACATTGGGCAGTCCTGCATGATTGTTATTTAGCCACCGGCATCTCCCCACCTATTGACCTGATGTCCTAGGACTGTGCTCAGCTCCTTTAGTCGTCAATATTGTGATGAAAGACTTTCTTCAGCTATTTTCAGTGCTGAAGTCTTCCATCTTCTCCTTTTGCATGACTTGAGAAATGCAGGAACAGTTACCTCTGCCAAAGTTCCATGTGGAATAGTGATTTCCTATGGCGGAAAAATATGCTCTGCATAGTAATTACTGTTAAGTCAAGTCCATTTAATCTGCACAATGACTTCTATTGTCTTTGCAGTATGGGAGGATTTGGGAGGCCTAGTCCTCTCCCAGGTGAACAGGATGTTATTCTTAAGGAGTGTAGAGGTGTGAGAAATGTTAAATTGCTTACTTATATTGGGCAGCAGATCTTTTGGCATCGTGAGTGCACAGATATAAAGATGAAAGATAGGCTGCAGTTTCTCATGAATATCAAGTCTACCTATGATGTAGACATGGGATAATCATTATGTAGCTTTCCTATTTCCCCTTATTAACTTTGCCCTACATACTTTCTTGAACCTCTAGGCAATTTTCCCCTCCCTTGTAGCTTGTGTTGGAAGTATGTAAAATTGCAGCAAGTACCCTTATTTTTACACCATTTTACTTCTATGTTCATTGAATCGTAGAACTGTTTTTGTTGGAAGGGACCTTAAAGATCATCCAGTTCCAACCCCCCTGCCATGGGCAGGGACACGTTCCACCAGACCTGGTTGCCCAAATCCTAATTCCAGGGATTGTGCATCCATCCACAGCTTCTCTGGGCAACCTGTTCAAGAGCCTCACCGCCCTCATAGTAAAGAAATTCTTCCTAACATCTATTCTATATCTCCCCTCTTTAGTTTAAAGCCATTATCCTTTATTCTGACACTACACTTCCTGAAGCTTTTCTTCTTCAGCTTTTCAGATCTTCCACCTGACACACAAAATGGAAGACTTCATATAGTTTTCTTTGAAGAGAGCCACACCATGGTTTTAAAATTAGTCAGATACATAAAGTCTGTCACACCATGAACACAGTCTAACTTCACCTTTCTCTACCTTTCAGTTTTCAGTCAACTAGTTAAGTTCGTCTCATCTTCAGAAGTGGTCGTTTCTAGTTTTTGTACTGTTCCAGCCACTGCTACAGTTCAAGGAGCGAGTGTGGCAGAGGAAAAGGAGGCTGTAATGTTTGGGTACCTGTGAATACACTTATCACAAAACTGGTGATTTGTATGTATTTTAGTTTCAAAACTTGCTCTTTAATATTATGATTAGAAAGCCCTCCTAAGTGATTTTTTTTAAAGTCTATCCATTAAACTGAATGTTGAACATAACTTTATTACTTTCCCCTTTTGCGGTTTTCTTTTTCTGTTTACATGGGCTGAAATCTGAAGATTTTAGTTCTTTACTTAAATTTTGCCATAGCTTTCCCATTGTGGTTTGACCTTTTGCGGAGATCTTAGTGGTCCCTAGACCACAGTTTGAAAAGCACTGTTTGGAAAATATTTAGACTTCAGTTTTGTTTTGGTCTTTTTATGGAGTTAGAGAATTGATGGGTCCAAGTTCATGGATTCAAATTTTTTGGAACAGGACTGTTTCCAATGAAGTATGTTGCTTAATGTTACTAACTCCAAGTAGGACATATCAGCTCCTGAGGACAATATATTGGTACAAAAATCAACAAAATACCTTTTTTTTTTTTTTTTTCAAAATTCTCCACCATCTTGTCCAGCTCCTGATTTTCTGGATGATAGAGGAAAATAACTTGCAAAACCCTTAAATATTCAGGTGAAATCCAGATTTGGCATCTACAGATCTTTAATTCAACACTTGTTGCATCATTACTTTCCAAATCCCTCCTACTGCCCAATCCAGTTCCATAAAAGCATGACACCTGCTCAGTTTTTGTCCTTTCCTTGTAGCCAGTGCTGTGGAATTAAAAAATAAAAAAATCCAACTCTACATCAGGAATCCTAGGCAAAAATATCTCTCTTGATTTCATATGAAGTGGCATAAAGATATGACTATCATCTATAAAATTAGACCATAAGTGCCCATAACAGCAGTAGAACGTACCATACTGAGCTATCAGTGATCAGAGTTCAGTCAGTGACCTGGCTGTGACCCTGCTGTGATGGAAGCGAGAGAACTTGTCTGGAGACTTACATTTGAAGGTATGCATTAAATTGTACATTGTCCAAAATGCATCTTCTAGCTATTACTTTAGAACACCCAATATATTAGTGAGTCTTCATCATTGATTATTCAGAAGGGATCTCCAATTGCTGTGCTGCAGTTCTTTGAGCAGCCACCTTTCCTACTAGGTGACAATATTTGACCAAAAATGTTGGGTTTTTCCCCTTAAAAAAATAATAAAAGAAAACCGTAGAAATAAAGGCAATTGCTTCTGTAAGCAATTTCTAAGTTTGTCTTAGACATGTTACGGATGGAAAACAGTTACTTGGTACTGCACAGTTAGTCCACTGAGGTTAATTAGTGAGCTGTCAGGTTTTGCAGGAGCCAAGAAGCAATGAGAAGTAATCTAGAGTTTGGATTGAATATTCTGTCTCTTGTACAGATTTGTAAATGGAGTTTACAAATTTCCAACCGTGCAAAGAGAGGTATTTTTTTTCTTAAAAAAAAAAAAAGCAAAAAAAAAAAGCTGTTTGGAAACAATCTCAGCAGTACATTAAAATGCTGTGTTACAGCCATGACCGTTATCACTAATAAGTGATCCTTCGTGAGTCGAGAGCTGAGGTTTTAATTGCCAGCTTCAGGGATTCTCATTTTGTTCAGTTTTCAGTCTCTAAGTTAGAGTCCATTTTCCAGCACTACAGTCCTTTTGACTCGTGTCCTCTGCATCTCTAGCTGATGAAAAAATATTGTAGAGCTTTACCATGTGTGCACCCAGAGCATATGACAAATCTTTGTGGCTGGTACGGGTAGGGCAGATTATTGCTTCTGACTGGTTGGGAAAGCATAAAGCGGGTGCTGTTGACTGGGTGTTGACATGCTACTGATGAGGGTGCTTTGGCAGGGAGGGCGTTGCAGCTCCTACAGGTAGGCACAGGTACAGGTGAGAAACTGAGCTGTCGCTGAGCAGTGAGCAATTCCCAGGTGCTGCCAACCTGGAGTCCGGAGAGCAGAAAAGCAGCTTTGCTGAGATGGCGTGTGCTGGGAGGCAGGAAATAAGTGTGTGTTCCTAGCTCTGCTGTTGATGTGAGATTGTAGCCATACTCAGCCTCCCCCCTTGTAACTCTCTTTCCTGCCCCATGGGGCTGTTGTCTTCTGTGCAACATTTGTAAGTTTGCAGCTGTTTTTCAATACCTGTTTACCTACAGCATCTAACCGAACATCCAGGTTTCAGCTGAGCTGCCAAGTTAGAAACAATCTTGTCTTGCCTGTCAACATTAAGCAAGTGTGAGGGGTGGGAGAGCCTTGAGCAGAGGAATTTGGCTTGGATTTTTTTTTCTTCAACCTTACTCAGTTTTCTTAGCACTTAAATGATTCTGAACAGAGTTGTGAGGAAGAGAGATGATGAGATAACTGCAGCATAGACTGATGTTGTGAGATGATAAGGTGAAAAGATAAGGTGACACTGCACAGTGTCTTTTAATTGCTTCATATATTCAGTGTTAACATACGTTCAAGAAATTGGATCCTTGCCTTGGCTGAGCTTCTGTCCCAGAAGACATGCCTTGCATTTCACCCCTGGCTCACTCTGTCACTGTTGGTGGGCCTAGGAGGTGCTGCATTGGAAGTTTGTGTTCTTGTGGCTGAAAAATGTGCAAATAAATAGCAGTGTGCTTTACTCAATCTCTCCTTAAAAGATTGTTTCGAACCTCACCTGAACTGCTCCCTTTGCCAGAACTGAAACTGCACGTGTGAGAGGTGATGGACTTAAACTGGTGGTGCATTAATTCAGACATTAATAGTATGTGAGCAAAGAATTTTCAAAAGGGTTGGTAAATTACATGTTCGGAGAGGCCTTGTACAGGTAGGATGAAGAATGTCTTGGTGTTTTCAGAGCAAGAAACAAGACCTTTTGGCTCTTCTCCAAGAGGAGTAGCACCAAGGTGTGTGTTGGCAGTTTGCTTGCTCTGGACTCCAAAAGAATGCTTGGTTTGCAAAATTTTCTTCTTTTATTTTTTTATTCTCCAGTTATGAATTCCATGTGAAACCTAAAAACCCACTTGGTGAAGGTCCAAGTAGCAATGTCGTGTCTTTCAGTACGGAATCAGGTAAGAACTTCCAAAAGTCTGCTGACTGATTTACAGTGGCTCTTGTATGAGAGTTTGTGGAGCAACTTTAATCCATTTGTCAGGGATATGGGAAAGGCTCTCTTGCTTCGTTTTGTATGTTTGGTCTTGCTCTTGGAGATCTTTTCAATCTCCAGATAGTTTTTGTTTGTTTGTTTTGTTTTGTTGTTTGTTTGATTTACTACTCAGCCTGTTACATTAATGGCTGGAAGGTCAGCCTGAGATCACAGCTCTATTATCTGAGGGTATAAGATGGCCAGACTGCAGGAAAAAAAAGCAGGAGCATGGAGAGTCTGGCATTCCCTATGAAGAAATTGGCTTTACCCTTAAAGAAAGCTCATTCATTTAGGATTCTTATTTCTGACCTTTTTATGTCTACCAAATTCATTAATATGTTCTGGATAGGGAACAAAGTTTTTCTGGGGGCTGGTGTGTTTATGAGCACTTTTTCTACCTGTTCAAAAAAAACAAACTGTTTATAATAGTGCTGTCTTTAGACTGAAAAGAGGATTGAGAAATAGTAGCTGGAAAAGTTGATGGTCCTGGTATGTCTTCATCCATCCTTCTTACTCTTCTGTGAAACTGTTAAAGATGTATTTACGAGTCTATTTTGACCATTGGTTGGTTCCCAATCTTAAGTGCTAGCTGACCCAAGGGTGAGAATCAGAAAATGCCTTTGCTTTCTGTGTTTGAGTTCATAGTGAGGCTAACTGGCTAACTACATTCGACTTAATGACGCTGTACAAACCAGGTATCTTCTTTTGTGTAGAAGTGTTTATTGTTTGATAGCACTTCAGGACCATATTCGACTCCAAATGGGTGTAGCCTGTTTAAAGGGACTTTGTTGATCCGCATTTTGAGCCAGGTGTAATAATATAATAGTCCTGATCACTGCTCAGTCACTGATGGATGGATGAGAGTTTTGGCTGAGCAAGGGATTAGGCAGGGAGGAGTTCAGATGAAGCCACACATATTGAAAAACTGTGAATACACTCTTTGTAACCTGGATTGTTAGAACTGAAACAATGTTTATGCCAAGTGCAATTTTCATTAATGACAAGGCTTACATTCTGTCTCCTATTTAGCTTGGCCAAATCAAGCAGTCAGTTTTATTTTTTCTTAATTGCACACATCAATTTCTCACTTTTGGGCTTTCATAACCGAATTTTGTGTAGCAAGCATTACAGAAGTGTCCTTTCTTTCCCCCAAGTTTTTGACAGTGTAATTAAAAATGGTGGGGAGAAAGGCAACAGAATTGAGGTTTACTGGTAACCGGTTTAAACTTGTCTTTACTAGAACCCAGTTTGAATCCAGGTTCCCATAAGAAACATTTTTAAGAGCTCGTTGATGCTGTAATTTCACACCATAACATAAGAAATGACTTTGGTTAATTTGATAGAAAAGTGAACTTTGCTTCCAAAACACTGTGTTTCACCAATTTGCCAGCTATAGGAAATTACTTACCAATGCTTTTCCATTGGAGTTTTGGGAAAGTTAATTTTTTGGTGTCTGATTGAATGTTTGTTTCTTTCCACAGCGGACCCAAGAGTGAGTGAGCCGATTTCAAGTAAGACTATTATGTATATTATAATGTCCTCTGATCAGATTTTTTTTTTTTTTTTCAGCAATGAAGTAGCATAATTTTAGTGGTGGGGTTCTGTACTGCACCAGTTAAATGAACTGTGGAATCAAGCAGCCTTTACACATGATTCCGTTCTTTCCACCCATATTTCTTGTGAGGAATTCATGCCAGGCTACTTGTTTACCTGAGCAGAATGCAATCAATGTGATGTGGTTCTCCCATGGCAGCTGGGATGGCTTCAAACCAACGTACACAAATGAGCCAAGGACAGCCTCATATTTTCTGTCTTGTTGTTAAGTCAAAAAAAAGCTCTGCAAAATGAATAAGCTATTTCACACTTTTTAAGTGAGTTAACAGAACACAACTCAAAGGATACTATTTAGCTGCCATTGTGTTTCAGGAAAAAAAAAAAAAACAACTGCTTCAGAAGGCTTGATCCAGCTCTGTTTTCGGCCACTTATAAGGCTCTTGCTGTCTTTGGTAGGAGGTAGACTAAGCTTTTGAAGAACAGCTGAGATCCATTCAAGCAAAGTGGTCTGCTTTTCACATTTGTAGAGGACATCACTTGACAAAAAAAATGAGACACCATTTATTTCCACATAATTCATGACACTTAATGTTTATGCAAGTTTTTAATCACATATGGTTTGCTGCAAGATGACTGTCCTGTCTTGAATCCACTGAGAAACAGTGACTGTATCACATAACTTTGTAAATGAACATTTTGCCCACGCACATTGTCCCCCTAAAAAAGTTAGTGAGCCTATTTCAAACTGGCTCCACTGACACACAGAGCAGAAGCAGTTCGCTGCATCAGTCACATCTGCACACTCCAGTGCTTCCTTGAAATACCTTTAATGTGCAAAATGCAGCTGACTGATTCTGAAGTATTGCTATACTTCAATGTGCGTTCTGCTCCATGGAGGTTTCTAATTCGATTTATTTGAATGTATTTGTTGTAAATAATTTTCTGTGCATCGTCATACTTCAGCCTCTTCCTTTCTTGCAGTGGGAAAGGATGCTATCTGGACTGAAATCCCATTCAATTCTGACACCTATTCAGAATGCAAAGGGAAACAGTATGTAAAGAGGACTTGGTATAAGAAGTTTGTGGGTGTGCAGCTGTGTAATTCTTTGAGATACAAGATATACCTCAGCGATTCACTTACAGGTAAGAGAGATTCATGTCAGTGTTGTCCACATTTTATAGTCCTCAAAAATACCATGGCTGCCAGAACTAAGAAGTTGATTAACAAGATGGGCTCTGCTGAAGTGTGATCAAGTATGTTTAATCTAGTCACCAGACAGATTAGTCATAAATATTAGTCTGTTTGTGCTCAGTAGTCATTGACACGTTTGCTACTGAATTTTCAGACTCAAGACTTACTTCTGTGTGGTCATCATCTGATCTGTTGGTATCCTGGGGGATCATACAAAAAACTGATAAAGATCAGATGGCTGCCAGTCAATAGCTTATATTGTAAAGGTGCCAAATCTGTATTTAAAACACAGCCTGGGATAGATCTTAATAGAGGATTAGGACCTAAATTTAGACTAGGATTAATGCTCAGTCATTCCCATCCCATTTGGTAAACATCTGGTTACTTTATTACTGTGGGGTTTATAAATAGAATCATAGAATATCCTGAGTTGGAAGGGACCCTTAAGGATCATCAAGTCCAACTCTTGACACCGCACAGGTCTACCCAAAAGTTCAGACCATGTGACTAAGTGCACAGTCCAATCTCTTCTTAAATTCAGACAGGCTCGGTGCAGTGACCACTTCCCTGGGGAGCCTGTTCCAGTGTGCAACCACTCTCCCTGTGAAGAACTTCCTCCTGATGTCAAGCCTAAACTTCCCCTGCCTCAGCTTAACCCCGTTCCCGCGGGTCCTGTCGCTGGTGTTAATGGAGAAAAGGTCTCCTGCCTCTCGACACCCCCTTACGAGGAAGTTGTAGACTGCGATGAGGTCTCCCCTCAGCCTCCTCTTCTCCAGGCTGAACAGGCCCAGTGCCCTCAGCCGTTCCTCGTACGTCTTCCCCTCCAGGCCTTTCACCATCTTCGTAGCCCTCCTCTGGACACTCTCCAACAGTTTCATGTCCTTTTTATACTGTGGTGCCCAGAACTGCACACAGTACTCGAGGTGAGGCCGCACCAGCGCAGAGTAGAGCGGGACAATCACCTCCCTCGACCTACTAGTGATGCCGTGCTTGATGCACCCCAGGACACGGTTGGCCCTCCTGGCTGCCAGGGCACACTGCCGGCTCATATTCAACTTGCTGTCTACCACGACCCCCAGATCCCTCTCTTCTAGGCTGCTCTCCAGCGTCTCATCGCCCAGTCTGTACGTGCAGCCAGGGTTTCCCCGTCCCAGGTGCAGGACCCGGCACTTGTTCTTATTGAACTTCATGCAGTTGGTGATCGCCCAGCTCTCCAGCCTATCCAGATCCCTCTGCAAGGCCTTTCCACCCTCATTCGAGTCCACAACTCCTCCAAGTTTGGTGTCATCGGCAAACTTGCTCAAAATACCTTCTATTCCTACATCCAGATCGTTTATAAAAATATTGAAAAGTACCGGCCCTAAAATGGAGCCTTGAGGGACCCCACTAGTGACCGCCCGCCAGCCTGACGCAGCGCCATTCACCATAACCCTTTGGGCCCTGCCCGTTAGCCAATTGCTCACCCATCGTATGATGTTTTTATTTAGCTGTATGGTGGACGTTTTGTCCAGTAGGATCCTATGGGAAACCGTGTCAAAAGCCTTGCTGAAGTCCAAAAAAATCACATCAGCTGGTTTCCCTTGGTCCACCATACGGGTGATCTTATCATAAAAGGAAATCAGGTTAGTTAGGCAGGACCTACCCTTCACAAACCCATGCTGGCTGGGACCAATGACTGCTTTGTCCCCCAGGTGCGCCTCAATATGTTCGAGAACCATCTTCTCCATGATTTTACCAGGCACTGACGTGAGACTGACAGGCCTGTAATTGCTAGGGTCTTCTTTCTGACCCTTCTTGAAAATCGGCACAACATTTGCCAGCTTCCAGTCTACCGGGACCTCTCCAGACTCCCAGGATCGTTGAAAAATAATTGAGAGAGGTTCCGCGATGACGTCCGCCAGCTCTTTCAGCACCCGGGGATGAATCCCATCCGGACCCATGGACTTGTACGGATCCAGGTGGAGTAGCAAATCCCGCACACGTTCAGGGTCGGTTGGGAGTTTGTCATCCCCACCGTCCCGATCCTCCAGCTCAGGGCACCCTGGGTCCCGAAGCCCATCATCGGCATTGAAGACAGAGGCAAAGAAGGCGTTAAGCGTCTCTGCTTTGCCTATGTCATTGTCTGTGAGGAGACCTTCCCTATCAAGGAGCGGCCCTATGTATTCTTTAGTTCTCCTTTTTCCATTCACATATCTAAAAAAACCCTTTTTATTTTCTCTCACAGACACAGCCAGCTTCAACTCTAGGTGTGCTTTAGCCACACGAATTTTCTCCCTACAAACACGAACAGCATCCCTGTATTCTTTCCATGTCACCCGGCCCTCCTTCCAGTAGCGAAACACTCTCTGTTTCCGCCTAATCTCCATCAGAATGTTCCTGGTCAGCCACGCCGGCCTCCTGCCCCGCCTGCCTGACTTGCGGTATTTAGGAATCGCCTGATCTTGTGCTTCTAGGAGGCATCGCTTAAAGAATGACCAGCACTGGTGGACATCGAGGCCTTCAAGAGCAGCTTCCCAGGGGACCTTGCTGACTAGTTCCCTGAGCAGCCTGAAGTCCGCTTTCCCCATATCTAGGGATGAGGTTTTGGTGGCACTTTTCCTTCTGTCACCCTAAATTTTGAACTCAACCACTTCATGGTCGCTATGACCAAGGCGGCCACCAATCACCACATCCCTCAACCTCCTGGACTTGCTCGTGTCAGCCGTGTGGCACTCCCAGTTAACGTCTGGCAGGTTGAAGTCCCCCATAAGGACAAGGGGAGTTAATCTCGAGGCCTCTCTTAGTTCTGTAAAGAATAATTTATCGGCGCTATTGTCCTGGCCAGGCGGTCTGTAATAGACTCCCACAACGACATCCCCTTTATTCGTTCGTCCCTTGATCCTTACCCAGAGGCTCTCAACTTTGCCATCGCCGACCTGAAGTTCCACACAGTCCAGCCCCTGCTTCACATACATCGCCACCCCACCACCTCGCCTACCCTGCCTGTCCCTCCTGAAGAGCCTGTAACCATCTATCGCAACACCCCAGTCACAGGACTCATCCCACCAGGTTTCGCTTATGCCGATGATGTCGTAGTTGCGGGACTGGGCCAGTACTTCTAGCTCATCATTTTATTTCTCATACTGCGTGCGTTTGTGTAGAAGCACTTCAGGTGCGTCTCCTTACACTCAGCACCTTGTGGATCTGACCGAAGGACCTCACTGGCACACAGCCCCTCTGATTCTAGCTTACCATCCCTTAGGTCTTCATCGGCGTGCCTGGTTTTAGCCCCTTCCCCCTTCGACTCTAGTTTAAAGCCCTATCTCTCAGCCCTGCCAACTCCTGACCAAAGATCCTTACCCCTCTCCGAGAGAGGCGCATCCCATCCGGTGCCATCAGGCCCGGTGTAGCATAGACCTTCCCGTGATCAAAGAACCCAAAGTTCTGCCGGTCACACCAGTCTCGAAGCCACGAGTTTATGTGAACAGCACACCTTTCAGCTTCGATCCCCCCTATCGGAAGGACAGAGGCAAACACAACCTGCGCGCCTGATCCTCTAAGTAGTCGCCCCAAATCCCTAAAGTCTCTTTTGATCGCCTTCGGACTTCTCGTTGCTACTTCATCGCTACCAGCCTGAAAGACCAGTAGCGGGTAGTAGTCAGTGGGCCGTACCAGGCGCTTGACTTTCTTGGCAACATCCCTGACCCTGGCCCCAGGGAGGCAGCAGACTTCCCTACAGGTAGGGTCAGGCCGACAAATAGGACCCTCTGTTCCCCTAAGGATAGAGTCTCCCACAACAATCACCCTTCTTTCTTTCTTGATGGAGGCAGTCCTGAGGCGTGGAGTCGACCTCCTCGCCCTAGGCATCCTCCTGGGAACACTTGCTACCTCTTCCTCAGTTGCTGGTCTGTCAAAAGCCGGATCTTGAGAATCAACTGAAGGCAAAGGAGTAGCACAAAAAAGCTGCAGTAGAAAACCATACCTTTTATGTGAGGATGTTTCATGAATGCTGTATGAATAATAACATAAAGAAGAAAATACAAGGAGTATGGGATAGTTGGAAAGGTTGAATGTAATAATGTGCTATTTTCCAGTTCCTCAGAAGTGGCTATTAATGTCAAATAAAATGAAATAAATAGAAACATTTGTCGTTTCTGAGGGGTACTTGCTGATTGTGGACTTAGTGAAATTAGGCATGATAAATCATGTCCAGACCTCCTCCTTTCTGTCTGTGTTGTCTGATCTGAAATACATTTGCAAATTTAGGATCCATACTTCATTGGCGGTAGCAGCAATGGTTGATGGCGCATCAACTCAAGTATTGAACCTTTTCCTCTAAATGGGCTTCATGAAAGAAAAAGTGTTTGTCTTTCATGCCGGAATCATTTCAACTGCCTTCAGTGGGGTAGAAACATACTTGAACTCCTTTTCTGCCTGCATTTGGACTTGGCAACAATATTGCTTGTTTCAAAATTTTTTGAGCATCTGCACAGCTTTACTCTATGTGAAGATTTCCAGGCTGCTTCTCTGTAGTTGTGTATTTTCTTTTGTGCTCCCTACTGTCAGATAGCAATATGAAAGATTTGTCCTGCTTTAGTTAAAAACAAAAGAGGTAAAAATTAAAGAACAACCTAAATAAAAATTAAGATAAGTGCAAGTAGAATTTAAAAGAAAAGGAATCTAAATACAAGGCTCAGTCTTCCATTCTATACTTAGATAAAAATACTTCTGCAACTGCATACTTACTTAGTTCAAGGACCTGCGATTAAAAGTTTTAAAAAGAAGAAAATCAGACCATGAAGTTATTTTTTTCCCTTCTTTGAGCAAGGCTTTTCAATATAAGCACTGAAATGATAATGTTTAAGAAAATTAAATGCTTGACATAGCAAATCACAGGACATTCAAATTGTTAAATAAGCTGATGAATATCTGTAACCTGTAGTATAGATCTGAAGATGGTACCTTCAGCAGT